ACTTAAAATGTTGGTATGACAGAAATTCATTTTATCCGCGTAACTCAGACATGCTGTAAGTAAGGGAGGCCTGCGGAGCTCAGTGGAAGAGTGTGGCATGGGTGTCAGACTTGGGTGTGACTCAGAGGCCTAGATCCTTAGTTATTTGCACACTGGACAATTGCAAACCTAGGCCTCACTTTTTTTTTCATCTGTAAATGAGAAAGTATGCTTACTTAGTACAGCTGCTGTAAGCAGTAGAAATAATAGGTTTAAAAAGAACCTAAAATAGTAAATGTCAGTAAATGCTAAGTTATGTATTACTTGCTACTGATAAGTAACTTCTTCAAAAGTAAAGAGCTTACTTACACAGCACTAGTTTCTTGTCTCCTGTTTTTGTGTGTAGTATCATACTCTTCCAGAATGTACTGGACTGTTGCTGTCACTCCATTGTGGCAAACAATAGAGAAGAGTGAACTTTATTTCATAAATCATCCCTTTTTTTAGACAGCCACCAGAGGCATACTGTTGGATTTTCATGGGAAAAATAGAATAGCAAGCTGCAAGAATCAGTTTGAATTCAAGTTTGGTTGATTTTAGTGGACTAGCAACAGGGGGTGACGAAAGGCAGAAGGCCAATAATGGTCATTTTTAGTGGGGTTGTATGAAGGCATAATGAAGTGGCCAGGGAGATTTCTGCCATCCAATAAGCTTTGCAGTTTGGCTATAAGAAGAGGTTATTTTGTCCTGATCATCTGGTTTGCTATGGCATTTTCTTTTTGTTTTTGTCTGAAACCAGAAAGTCCTTTGCTGTTTCCATATTATCCTCGAAAGTCACTGCATTTTGTGAAAAGGCGGATGGAGAACATTATTGATCTGTGCTTGCAAAAACCAGCCGTAAGTTTGAAAGGAATGCATGCCTTTATGTAGAAGGAGGAATATCTGTAATATGTGGCTCACTTGTGTAAATGATCAGCGTCATTAAAATGATCCATATGAAAATAGCCATAATCAACATTGTTGACTAACAAAATGGTGGTTTCATAGGGTTTACCCTAGTAATTCCTCTTATTTAGTTTCTTACATATATTAAAAAATAAGTAAATACAAGATTATTGAAAGTGTTGACATCTTTAGTGTTTTATTTGTTCCAGAACAAACTTCCCATAAATGGTCTAAGTCACAGAGCTAATGTGTCTTTTGGGTACCCCTGAAGGATGGAGGATTGATGCCTGAGGCCAGGGGAAGTGGTTCACAGCAGGCCATGTGTGTATTGCCAAGATCCTTTTCAGTTCAGAAATTTCTCTTTGCTGTTAGGACCGTCATTACAATTTCTTATATGGAAAGTTGGTGATACAGATGATTCTTTACTAGACATGAACAGTGACAGTCACTTACTGTGGAGTATTTGTATGTAAAGGCTCTCACTATTTTTAAATCTTATTTTATTTAGGATGTAATTGGAAAATCAATGAATCAGGCAATCTGTATTCCATTATATAGAGATGCCAGAAGGTAATTCCGTTTACCTTTCGGGTGGTATAATTCAGCAGCCACTTAAATTTTTTCTCACTTCTTTTTCTTTTGTTTTAGTGAGGACTCTACACGTAGATTGTTCAAATTTCCTTTTCTGTAAGTGTGTGTCTTTTCCCCTATTTCATGTGAACAGTCAGTTTTGTTCTGTGCATTGATAGCTAAATATCATGTTTTGACATTATTTTTTTTTCCTTAGATGGAATAATAAAACATCAAATCTACATTATCTTCTTTTTACCATTTTAGAAGATTCACTTTATAAAATGTGCATCTTAAGGAGACATACTGATATTTCCCAGTAAGTATTAATCTGAAGCTTGAGTCAAAGAGACAAGATTCTATTATTTTTGATAATAACACAATTTCCCCTCCCGGTAGGTCAGGGTTTTGTTAAGCTACCTTATGACTTAAGGCTTGTCACTTAACTGCTCTTAGTTTTAGTGTTCACATTATTAAGATGATAATGCCAAATTAGGAAGCCTTATGATCCCACTCATTCTACATTATTTAATTTTGTATGGATATAGTTATTATATGTAGAAGTTAATTTTAGGGTTAGGAAAATACAACTCAGGATTATATAGCTCATGAAATTGTAACAGCTTAAAACAGTATTTTGACTCCTTCTGGAAGGGTTTTTACCTCAGGTTAGCTGTGCCCTTCATTAAGCCAGACGCCTTGCATTATAGAGACTTAGGTCAAGGCTCTGAAAGACAAATCATATTCAGAATGCCAGTAGGATCTTAAATGGTTTTAAAATTGAATTTGAAGTAAACTTTTTGAGACCAACACGTAGCCAAAGAGAAATAATTTGGTTGTTCCAAATGCCCTTAATTTTATAAGGTAGCTAACTGCTTCAGTCACTGACATGTTAGACCAAGTTGTGATTTTAACATTAGGTTCATCTATTTAGGTGTTTAAATTGGTTATCAGTATTCTAGAGAGAGCACAATGGTATTTTGATCTGGGATTTGGTGTTTAGGTAAATGTACTAATGCTGACAATCATGTTTTCAAGCATTTACATTATTGGCTATCCAGGTTTTTCCACAAAGTCTCTTTTTTCCCCCTTCTTTTTCAAGATCTGTAAGTAATGGACTAATTGCTGTTAAATTTGGGAGCTTCACATATGCCACAACTGAAAAAGTGAGAAGAAGGTAAAACTTGAATCTTGCTGGATGAGATTGTATACCTACATAGATTTGTGCATGTGTTTATAAGTGGGGTGATAGGACTATGGTTAGACTCAGTTACAGTGATGATATTTAGAAGGTCTTTATCACTTGCAACATTGGGAGCGGGATTGCTTACATATTTTATACCTAGAGAATGATTCAACTTACAATTGAATAAAAGCTTACTGCCTTGCAGTTATTGATATAGTGAGGTTTCCTATAATGAATACTTCTAAGCTCCTGAGGACGTAACATGGTTCCAAGGGGTAGGTATCTGAAGTTCTTGTTATTACCAACAATAATTTGAGGTGGTATCATTCTCACGGCTCTGGGGTTTTCCTTGGATATAAAAAAGTAACAATACCTAAGCCATCCCTGAGGCTTTATGCGGGAAAGAACTGGCTCTAATCATAGGACGATCTTTTTCTCACTCTCTTTTCCTTACATAAAAGGAAATGATAATGTCTTTGAAATTATTGTGACTTTAAAATCTCACTTAATAAGTAAATCTTATTTTTTTCATTCTAGTTAACTCTGTCTACTCTCTCTATAAAAGGTGTCATTCATTGACTTTTCACAGGCTTAAGGCCTACCATTGATATCAGGAGTTTTCTGTAACTGTAAACCAACACAGATTTTTCTCTTTCTATGATTACCTATTTTAGGGGCTAGTTATATTTATGGATAATCAGGACAATAGGTAACTAGTTTGAGTGCAATCTGATGATGTATTTTAAATGTTAATTGTGTAGAATATCACTTGATTTTTTTAAATTAATTTTTTTGCTTGGTACTAGCACAGTGTTATGCATACAGTATTATCTCAGTGGTCATGATCATCTTTGATACAGCAAAACTTATTTAAATTCTAGCATCTACAGTTGTTTAGATGCACAATTTTATGATGATGAAACTGTAACGGTCGTTCTTAAAGACACTGTAGGACGTGAAGGAAGAGACAGACTCTTGGTCCAGTTGCCACTGTCTTTAGTATATAATAGTGAAGATTCTGCAGAATATCAGTTCACTGGAACTTACTCTAAAAGGTAACTATCTATTAGCTCATCTTCTGATACAACAGCTTAATGCTTTTTAATGTGTATTGTACATTCTAGTTCTTTGGGTATGCTAGATAAGGTTCCTAGGGATAACTCCAAAGTCACCTCAGCAGCAATACTCTTTTATTTTTTATTAAAAACATATTGGCTTCAACAGCTCTTCTATCCCTTTGCTTTAAAGACATATTTGCTGGAATGAGGTGGGAAATTATTTTTAGTGGGGAATGGGGCATCTGTTCTCTTTTCAAAGGTAGCATTAACCCTAATTTATAGTATAATTATTTTAGATGCTTTTTGTAGAATAAATAATTTTAGAATTAATTATTCTAGATACAACTAAAAATACTTAGATGCCTTTAAGATACTTTTGTTTAATTTTAGGTCCTCAGTAACCATGTAGTGAGTAGATGGCCAGTCCAAAGAAACAGTTTTAGTTGAAGATCTAAGTAAGCAGATCTTGTCTCTTATTTAAAAATGTAACTCTTTGAAAGGGAATAGAAACATTACAAGATGATATTCTGCCTATTTGGAATTGCAGTATTTCCATAGAATATAATATCACAGCTGTTTTATATAGTAGCTGATAGAATTATATTGGAATTGGGAATATTGGTGGATATCTAACCCCTAGTTGACGCTGATACCACCCATAATAAACCAAGGAGACGAACCCTTCTCATCCCTGGGTTGCTTTCTCCCTGCCTAGGGTAGACGAACAGTGTGATGCTATCCCCACACGGACCATGCATTTCGAGAAGCACTGGAGGTTACTGGAAAGTATGAAAGCACAGTATGTTGCTGGGAATGGCTTTCGAAAAGTGTCCTGTGTGGTGAGTATTTGCAGATTGCTTATGACTCAGAGTAACAGGAGGAAGTGACTTTTGGATTTGTAAGGTCCTTTAGTGCAAATATTTTGTGCTGCATATGACTTTTACTGATTACGAGTGTAGTGGCCTTAGCTGTTTACCTCACTTGTTCTGAGAAAGCATACCAAGTAATTAATAACAATTCTAGGTTTTAATTATAATGAAGTTGTCACTGTTTTATGTGGAGACCTTTTCAAACACAATGGAGGCTGAATTTGGTGATTTTGATGTAAATTGAAGGAAAATTAACTTCCGTATAAAACCATTCTTTGTTCCAACTTCTGATTTCTAATTCCTTACATATATATATATATATATATATATATATATATATACACACACAGTATAATTAAGGTACTGATTTAAAAATTCTTGATTTGGCCTTTCTTCTTTAGCTAAGCTCAAATCTCCGTCACGTACGAGTATTTGAAATGGACATAGATGACGAGTGGGAGCTCGATGAGTCTTCAGATGAAGAGGATGAGGCCAGTAATAAGCCTGTAAAAATAAAGGAAGAAGTGTTGTCTGAGTCGGAGACCGAGAACCAAGAGACCAGCGCCACTGCTTTAGCTCCGGAGATAGTCATCAAAGTGGAAAAACTTGACCCTGAGCTAGACTCATAGTACAGCTTACCATTATTTTGTTATGTTCTCATTATGTCAGAAAGGACATAGGACATGGACTAAGATGTGTTGGTCCACTTTTAATTTCTTTTCTATACTAAAGAAATAAATAGTAAATTTTATTTTTTTTTTATTTCATCTGCTCTTAGTGGTATAGTCACTGTGATAGACTTTCTTTTTGCTGAGTTGTCTTTTAATACTGTGCAGAGCTAGTGTTGAAAAAAACCAAATTGAATGTGAAGAAAGAGTTCAGTCTTTTCTTGAAAAGGTGTAGGTATCAGGAATCATTCCTGTATCAGGAAGAAATTACATTTAAACAGTCATTCATCACTGGACGTTTTGATGCATTTAGTATTTCAAAAATGTAGGCATTTATTCCTGTTTTTACTATCTTCCCCTTCTAGTTTGCTTTAGGTCCCCAAAATGCTTTCAAAATTATGTTTTCAAAATAAATTGTACTGACTTACTATAATGCTAAATAAGCCAAAAGATGGATACTGTCTTTATGATCTGAATAGCAAAAACACTGCTTGGTACCTTCTTGATTATCTTTTCTTATTTTGTTACTATATTTGAGCTCTGAATTCTTCAAATCAGCAGTGCTTGGATGTGTCTTCTTTCTCTGTTTAAAATTTGTCAAGGACATAGAGTAGACTGTGTGTTCGGTTCTTTGGGACCATGAGAAATATGAATCAACTAAACAAAATTTAGCATTAGAGCAAACACTCTTTCCTAAAGTAGAGTAGTGGCCTCATGTGACTCTGAAAGAGTTTCCATTTTATATATGAATCCCAATATCAGTTCACTGATAAATGAAAGAATCACTTCTTAAAGCTTTAAATGTCTTCAGAACCAAAGATACACTATAAGCAGGTGAGCAGGCAGCTGTAGGACTCTGTCATTTGTCTGTTGCTTCAGGTAAGTAGCTGCTAACTCTTGGATTTGAGGTACATCACTCTTCAGATATTCTCTGTACCACAGCTGCTCTGAGCTTGTCAGTTTTGAAGGGTATATTGAAGAGAAGCCACTGTTGTGTGTATGAGCTTGGGGTTTAGGACTGTGATCTTCAGAAGACCTATTGTGCTATCCTGCAGCCTTGCACATAGCAGGCCTTAAACTCGGTTAATATGTAATTTATGTGAAAGTTTATTGGTGGGTGGTCAATGTCCATGGCATATGCAGAATATCCTGAATTAGTCTTTGTGAGCAAGAAAGGTGAACTGTCAGACATTGATGGAGAGATTATAGGTAGAATGTATGGAGAGCATTCTAGAGTGAACACATTATGCAAATTTACTGCATGGCATTTAAATAACTGGTGCATTTTAGGGACAAGTAATTACAGCTTGTTCTTAGAATGAATTACAGTTTCACAATAAGCGACCAGTTCTTTTTTAGATAGTAATCTGTCCATGTGACTTCAGTAGTAAATGTATTAAGATTTTTGAGAAGTGCACACTTGCTTTCTGGGTTCCACCATAGGGATTGAAACAGAGACTGCTAGACTGCACTTCTTTTGAACCAGGGATCAATAATAGTTGTGTTGATGTACTAGGCATCCCTTTGAGTTAGATTAATAATGCAAATCATTCCTAATTTTAGGGGGGTTTTTTCCTTAATGCTCTTAATGTATGTGATATGTCAAATATTTAGGAACTGTATATTAAGGTGGAAAAGCTTAAATTGATATCTGAATCTCAAAGTTTTAATAAGTATAGAGCAGTAATTTTCTGTTTAACATGTTTTTAGGTATATGCTGTAATTTCCACAGCATTAAAACTTTTGCTTTTAATATTTAGGACCAGTTTGATCATTATAGACTATCATTTTATTCCTAGTATATTTAGTAACAGATACTGAAATTGAGATTTGAATTTAATGAGTGGCAGGTAAACTGGGTACATGGAGGACTGTGGGCAGTGGAATGCCCCCAGGTATTGGCTGTGTGTGGCACTCTGGGCTCTGACCTTTATGCAGTGGGGATAATTGAGTGCCTGTCTCAGAGTTTGAGGACTATATGAGGGGTGTTTGTAGAAAATTGTAGTTGATACATAGGAGACACCTGGTAAAGATGAGCACTTCATATTACAATATTCTGTGCTGTTCTTTCCCAGAATAAACTGTGTTGATTTTTTTTTAGAAATTTAAGTAGCCTTTTTTTTTTTTGCCAGACTTAATATTGACTGTGGCAATAGTCTTTCCAATTCTCTGGCTTTGTGGTTCTTTTCCTTTTGTTCTTGATTTTTTTCCCACAACAAAACTTTTACACTCAGTAAAATGCTAAAACATTGCATCTCCTTTATTCAGAGCAATTGGATGTAAGTGCGAAGAAAACTATTATGGTATAGCCTTGACTTCATGACACCATAATGAGGGAATGTATATGTACTTTTTTTGAGTTAATGTCAGTACTTGAAGTCCTGTAAGAAGGAAGGTGCTAAGTACCTATTTTTAGGGGATGCTGTAACGGAAATGGATTGCATGATTTCAGGTGCAGATTTATCTCTTTGGTACTTCTTGAAGTTGTGACGATGTATAGACTGTGTTTATTAGAACCTACGTTTGTCCACCTACAATGACTGATGGAATTTTTAGTTCTTAGCAGAGGGAGATGATACTCAGGATTCTAAGTCAAGGCCACAGAAACCTTATCATGTGAGAGCAAGTAGATCAGAGCAGAAAATAGTTTTTGAACTCTAATGAGGAACATTCAGAAATTCTCAATTGTTAAACAGTTAGTTGTAAGAAATGTTAATATGGTAAATAGTTCACTTCTGGGTGAATTAGAACAGGGTTTACTGTGAAGCACACCACTGCTAGAATTGCCCTGGCTGGCGATGAACATGCAAATTTATGGGTGCCACCAAGCTCACTGAATCAGAAACCAAAGGCCTGCATTTCTAACCAGCCCACCTGATTTTACAGCCTATGAAGGTTAAGAGCCATTATTTTCTATGGAAGCTATTTTTTGGTAATTAATGTTTACCACTTTTTATTTAGTTGTAAGGTTAAAAGCTGCTCCCTTAGATGCATTGAAAATTGATGTATTTTTTTCTTTAAAAATGATCTTAAGTGATTGTTAATTTCATATGCAAGATACTCACACTTCCATAAGTCTGTTTAAATGATGGTGGCCCTAATTGCACCCTGGTTCTATGCACTGCAGCATGCAGAAATGAATCTTGTAAGGCCGCATTTCACCCTTAAGAAGGTCATGTTTGGCTGAGTGGTCACTGCTCGGGCCGTGCAGGTTGGTAATAATAGGCCATTACCGCTCATCAAGGTCACCTTTTCCTCTGGTATGTGCAATCAGAATGAATACACAGAATGCTGTATGGTTACCGCTGTATAGATGATAAATCTGTCCTGGGACGTGACTAGATGACACTTGTGTTTACCGACCTGATAGATGTTTTAAAGGTTAAAACAAGACGAGTTTGTAGTTTGTGTTGCCTGTTCTCTGACTTCAGTGTTCTCATACACTCCCCAACCCCAGCCCCCAGCCAGACTGGAAACTTGAACTATTTTCATTCATTTCAGAATTACTGATTTCTGTTTCAGATCAAACATTATTTTAAATTGCATTTTTTCCACTGTTCAGATAGAACTGAATATTTTGGACCCTAGCTACATACTATAAACTATACTAGTGATTGTCAACATATTAAGAGATACTGCCAAACTTTCTAAGATTAATAACATTCTACTTTCCTCCTTCCTTTCCACCACTTATTTTGCCTTGCCCAGCTATGGTAGGAAGAGGTGAGAAGGATAAAAAACCTAGTATGGTTTGCCCTCTTGGGATGTAAAGTCAAGATCTCCAGGTAGCAGAGTGTGGATCTTGAAGGGACTGAGACCACTGTGGGGCCCTACAAGGTATAGGGCCCTTTTTCTCCCTGCTAGAGAAGGAGCCATCAAAGGAGACTGGGAAAGACTGGTCCAACTGCAGAAGGAGACCCAGGTGACTGGTTTAGTGGAAACCCACTTGGGAGCAGTCAGCCATGTCAGCAGTGGAGAAAAGGACTGTGGGAGAATTGCTATTATCTCTAAAACACTGCAAGTGAATGATGGTTCCATCTAGAGCCACTTTCCATGTCAGCATGTTCTCCAGGGCTCTGTGGGCTCTGCCCCTGTGCTCTTCCCCAGCATTCCAGGGCTTCCCCGCTGCCTTGCTTATATTGCCTTTCTTTCCATTTCCTGAGAACTTAGTTCTTTCCTGCCCCAGGGCTTTGGGACATGCTCTTACCAGGAATGTCCTTTCCCTAACCCTTCACTGGATTAATTCTTACTTTTATTAATTTCTCAGCTAAATGTCTCTTCCTCAGAAAAATGTTATTTTAGGAATCTCTTACTGACCCTTTCCTTTGGTATCATCTGTCACAATTTGTGCTTATGTATTCATTTGGTGCTTATTTTAATGCCTGAATTAGGTTATAAACCCAGAGATCATGTCTATTTACCTCTCTGTACCATAGTGCTTACCATAGTGCCTGGCACATAGTAGGTACTCAATATTTGGATTACCAAATAGTATACTGTAAAATGGGACGTGGTGCAGAATGAAAATACTAAGCCAACACGTAAGCCCAGATAGGGTCTTCAGCTCTAGGTTGGTACTTAACACCTGAGGGACTATGAGAGGCCATGGGGAGTGGGGTTCCATTTGGATTCAGTGTCGACACGGGACTCTGCAGCCCTCCCGTGGGCCAGGGAAGGGGTCATGTGGCTGCTGTCCTGCCAAATCTGGTCTTGAGTGCTCTGCGGATTGGATTGCCGCAGAGTGGGGAGGTGGCTGGACTGAGGCCGGCTCAAAGCGCAAGGCAGGGCCTGAAGGAGCACACACTGAGCCCTGTCTTTCCCCTTAGGCGAAGGCACCGATCAGGGCCTCCCCAGCTCGGGGTCAGGAAGGCCACATTGCTGAGTCTCTCCGGCATTCATGAGGCACTCCTCAGGGGCAGCTGCCCTGCCCAAGGATCTGGCTGTCTGGGGAAATGGCACTGGGCTTCAGCTGGGCCCTTGGACCCTGCAGGGCCTTGACCTAGTTGGATGTGGAAACCTCTGGGTCTGCCAAATTGCACAGGAAAATCCCAAGATCGAGGGGCCATAGATGTACTGGGGTCAGGCCAGACCTGAGACTGATTGTGACCCAAGGGTTTCTTCCTGCACTCACTGCTGCATGGCCGGCTTCTCTTTGTCTATATTTGGCTTTTCAAGGGTCTCCTCAGCAGAAGTCTGTCCTGGAAGAGGAATAGCACAGGAGAGACTGCAAGGTGCTTTATGTACATTGTCTCACATAATTCTCTGAGCAGCTCTGCAACGAAGTAATTGCTGTCCTTACTTTACAGAAAAGAAAAAATCCTGAGGTCAGCTGTGTCCCACACAACTAGTAGGTGGTAGAGCTGCCATGCAAAGCAGATGACCTGACCCAAGACAGTACTCATTGCTTACAACGGTTGAGTTCTTAGTAAGAGCCAGGCACAATTCCAAGCACATGAGTGACTCATTTAAGCCTAGCCACATCTACACGGTAGGTGCTATTATTAGCTTCATCCCCATTTCACAGATGAAGAAACAGGCCCAGGGACATTTCTAACTTGTCCAGGGAAATTTCACAGGCAGCAGGGGTGGGAAGGGAGGTGAAGCTGGGCAGTCAGGTGCAGGACCCTTGCACTGAGCCACTACATCTGCTGCCTCCCTGGGGTCTGTGCGGTTCCACTACACGGCCCTGCCATCTGTCTCCAGCCCTGTTCCTGCTGCTTTGCCCATGGCTGTGCTCTTCGAGCCGTCTGCCTGCCAGGGCATGGCTGCTGCAGTATCTGAGCGGCACGGACGTGCAAGCATAGCAAGGCTTACACTTGGGATGAGCTTCGTTCTTCACAGCACCATCATTCAGAACCGCAATCAGCTCTGGTGTGAGAGGGAACAAGGCTATTTTCCATGCAGATATGGGAGTAGTTTGTGGTAGAGCTGGGCCAGAACCCCAAATTCTGACACCCAAGATTAGTCCGGTTTCCTCCAAAACAGCACTGCCCTCAGCCTGTTCCACGTGTCCTCTTTGCCCCCTTAAGAGGCTCTTGTGTGTGTGCTCAGGTCTCAGAGAGACAGAGCTGCACTTTTCCCCCAGAAATGTTCAGGGGTGGGGGAAGTTGCCCACTGTATTTGTGCCGTGAATGGTCTGGGATCTATTTCCCAATCCATCGGATTATTTTGCATTTTGGTGGTCTGCAGACTTCCGGTGGGTAAATGTTCCCACAGAAACATTGAAGCTTGTGAGAGGCAGAGAAAACATCTCCAGAATGAATACATAGGCCAAGCAGGGGGCAAGTTTGTCATTTGCAGTAGGGAAATACTCAAAAAAGAATGCTCAGTTGTGAACACTGAGGAAGACTGTGACTCCGTGAAACACAAACTAGAAAAATGCCTTTGGCACATTCTCTGTGGGCTAGGAGCTACATATGTAGCATCAAGAAAAATAATTACATCTTGTATTTTACACAAAATAGCTCAGAGCATCACATGCCAACTCTCCTACTTACTCGTCCAACACAAAAAGGGCTCAGGGGTGCTGAGACAGTCTTGGGCTGGAGCAGGGAATGTAATAGCATAGTTCCCACTTGAGAAATGGAAGTCAAACACATTTGTAAATTGGCTCAGCATTTCCAACATGAGCTGTGGATCTCTCAAATTTCTAACTCAATACTTTTCACTCCCTTTAGTTCCCCAATTAGTTAGTGCAATGGCCTGTTTCTGCTTAATTAAACGTAATGCTAATTTATAATGCCTCTTGCTCTGGGCTGGGCAACAGGCATGTGATATGTACCACCTGGTGCAATCCATTTCTCAAAGCTGAAGGAGTAAGGATGACAGTTTTCTGCCGGAAGGTGACTGAGAAGATGTCCCTACACAGTCACTGGAAGAGAAGACAAAGATGATATGTTTTATGGATTGAAGTAAAACAGAAAGGAGTGGTGCCATGTGGGACAGAGAAATAAAAGAAATGTGTCCACTAATTTAGAAGACGAAATAAAAAACTTGTCCCTTGCCTTCCCTCCATCTGTTGGAGTGTTCAATTCAAATGCTTTTTCCAAGCTTCCCTTCATTCCTCCAAGTCCTACCCCCCACTGCTAACCTCAGCCCCAGGCTGGCTGTCATCTCTGCCCTCAAGAGTTCTCGCTGATAATCATTGTGTTAATTGAGCACAACTGCTGGTGAGGACCGGACCAGTAAATGCACTATAGGTATTAACTTGTTCAGCTTTCCCTGTCTCATCACCTGTGAGAAAGGAAGCATTATTAAACCCTTTGTATCAGGATGATGGAGAGGCCCAGAGAGGTTAGGTAACTTGCCCAAGGCCACATAGCTAGTGATGGGTGGGGCTTAAATTCTCTGTCATACACAGCAAATCTCTGACATCAACCACCTTCTCCTTTACTGATAAGTCACATTTCCTTCCAGTGTGTGAGCTCCTTGGGGGCAAGCACCACCAGGTGGCTGGTTGTAAAGCCTCCCTAACAATTTGTGCCATGTGGAAAGCCCTGCCCCTGAAATTGATGGAGCCTGAGAAATCTTTAGCCCCAGCTGGGCAGCACGGAAGATTCCCAGGCCTCATGGCACGGTCAGCAGAGCTGAGCCCTCCACGGTGCAGGGATTTGCTCCCCACAGCTTGCAACCCTGTGGGTTTCCGAGTGTGCTCTCTGGGAAAGCTCAGTCAGGAAGCCCAGGCACTGCATGGCCTTTCTGACTAATGCTGGTCCCCAGGCAGTACCTTGCCAGGCCCAGCAGCCTGGGAAGGATTCCCCAAAGAGGGAGACCCTGTGTGAGGGTCTCCATCAGGACACGGGGCTCCTGAGAGGTCTTCCTGGCTTGCCGGTTGGAGGATGGTTGGAAACCCCTGCAGAGGGCAGCAGTTCGCTTGTTTGTGTTGCTCAGGCCGGGGTCGGCTTCCGGACATGTGAGTGTGCCACAGGGCTGCATGCTCCAAAGGGCCCAGGCTTGGTTTAAGACTCTGTAGAAGTAAACATAGATCCACCAAATGAGAATAAGCAAAGGCTGTTTATTCCTAGCTTTCATGGGAGTCAGACACTGTCACTTGCATTTTGGCAGAGACTCAAAGGCAGGCAGAAGAATGGGAAAGTTTGGAGTGGAGAAAAAGGTATACCCTGATTGGAGGTGGCTGACCTGGGGAAGCTGGAGGCAGCTAACAAGGAGCAGGACATCCTATGTGTTGGGTAGGTGCGCAGATGGGGCTTTCTCTGGGTGGTCCTAAGTTGAAAGTAGGGGCAAAAATTAGGGAAGCTGTCAGTTATTGATCAAGTCCTGGTATGTGGGGCTGGTGTTACGGGGGTTATTGCTTGGCTTCTGGGATTGTCACTACAAACAGCAGTTACAGCAGGCGAGCTTCCTGGGCTGGTGTTGTAGAGAAGGAGTTGGATTCCTGGACAGGTCGTTGCAAGTTGTGGGTCAGAGTTCCATTTTTACATATGGTCTGGCCATTCACTGACTGTATGATCAGCTTTCACGGCACTGTCACCGACTTGAAAGGCCTGACAAGGGCCCCATATTTGCATCTCACCTGGGCCCCGTTCCTCTGTTCATCTTTGGACTCATGACCAAAGACACTTTTGTGTGGTTTCGGGTCTGCCTGTGATCTGGCTACAGTTTTCAAACTTTTATTTAGAGTGGGGGATTTTGGGATCTCCATATAGTGAGGACCTCTTCTTGGAACCCAGCTTCAAACACTCAGAACATCCTCAGACCCAGCTGGTACATCTCTTTCCTTCTCAGGCTGGAAGCTGTTGTGTTTTTTCCATCTTGGCCCGGCTGGGGTCTTCTGGGCAGGGTGGCTCCTCAGTGAGCTTGGGCCGACAGGAATACCTAACCTGGGTCATGTCTCACTGATTCAGATCCTGTTAATTGCAAATAGAGAAGTTTTGGTCTACTTTTGAAAAAAAAGATTTGCAAAGCAAATGTACTGTGCAAAAGGTGTCTGGGGATGGGGGCAATATTGAATCCGTTAAGAGAAAATTTTCAAGAACTTAATCAGCACTGTGTGATACAAAGCCAGTGAATTACCTTTTAAGCGTAAAATCTCATTTCAGTGCATTCTTTGCTGCTCGCATTGGAGGAGGTCGTTGAGAGGATGTGAGGACCACCGGTTGACCCTGGAGCTGAACCTTAGCAATTGAAGCCTCTTACCCTCTCCCCTGGCTTAGGAATGTATGCTCTGCCTGCCATTCCCACACTAGGAGCTGTTTCAGAGACATGGCCTTGAGAGAGTAAGATGTTGTTGAGATCACCTGGGCTGATGTTTAAGCAAGACCGCTTGATTTTTAAGATTTTAAACTTTAAAGGTTCTGGCAGGCACGTGCAGAGATGTGCTCACCACCCAAGAGGAACCTCATATGTAAGTTCCCTTCTTTGTTGAACCTACCCCCTCCTGATCTGGAGGGGCCTGCCTCTTTCTTCCGTCCTCCCTGCCCTCTGGGTTTGGGGCCAGTTGCAGATTTCACCTGGGGACCTCCCAAGGTCACAAACCAACATCGTAAAAGTGGCTCCTCCACCCACTGCTTGTAGCCTTTGTCTCATCAAGGCACCTGAAATACTCAAAAGCAAAAAGTGGAATCTTTTTCCAGTGATTTTCCACTTTTGGCTGACTAAATAAAAGCAGCCTGGATTTTTCAACCCTGCACCAAAGTGCTGAGACTTTTCTGTACTTCTGCTGTTCTCCCTGCTCCCTGTCCCAGGCTTCCCTGAGCACAGCTAGCGTGCCTGGGTCTACCCTGAAGCTCCTTTCCCACCCTCGTATGGGACCCCCTCACAAAGGCTGCCTCCTTGGAGGGTCCCTCTCTCCCCTCCCCAAGTCTCAACCAAAAGCTCTGGGGGCAGACAGCCAGCTCTGAGACATTAACCAAGCTGCATAATCCCTTGAAGCCTCATCTTCCTCATCTGTGAAAATGGGGATAGTGATCCTACCCTGCATGAGGTCCTGGTGCAGTTAAAGGAGGTAATGTGCAGGTGAAGGGATAAACTCGTGCTGGCCCAGCTCCGCACTCAGTGTACTCAGCCACTGTGACTCACTCATCTATGTGGTCAGCTCTAGGTCTTCATCACCTCCACTTCATTGCTTTAGTTCAATTCTTCTTTCTGGTCGAAGAAAATGTCTGCATTTAAGTATCACCTCAGACATCAACTCTGGCTTTGAATGCCCTCCAAACTCTTAAAGGATGAATATTTTTCACCACTGAGGGTATTCAAGACACTATGCCCCAGGGGCTGTTGATAGCTGCCAAAGAGGTCTTTCCTAAAGTTGTAGAAAAGACAGTAATATGGGCTGGAGTGGCTTCCCAGGTGGCCTGTGTGAAGAGGAAGATCTGCAGGCACAGTTGCGTGGATTGTTCTGGAAGACATCCCTCTGCCCTTAGACTGTGGGGAACTGGCTGTGGGCACAGTAAATGGCTCTGATTCATAACGAGCAGCCATGGGCACTGCTGCCTCACTCTACTTAGTTTCCTCTCTGCTCTGCCTTGTGACACTATCAGTTTGAAGACTGCTAAGGCTGGCTGGTGCCTGTGTGCATGACTCATGGGACATTGCGGTCATGACACTTTTGCAAGCACACGGTGCTTACCTTGGTTCTGAGTGGCCCGAGAAACACAGTTAGTGCTCACTAAATGCCTTATCTGTCCACATGCCCACTGCCCTGATTTCTTGGCGACCTTGATCCCATCACCTTGTCTTCAACACTCTGCACTCTGTACTCTTCTCCAGAAAGCCTGAGGAATACCTGAATTATAGACCAGAAAACAAGATTGAGATGTACTTTTTTGGAATGAATCATATCCAAGGAGTTTTAATCCAAGGGTTTTTCAAATATAAGTCATAGGCTTCTTATATCAGTGGGAAAGAGGCCATCGAAAATGTATTTCTCAAAAGAGGATGAACCTTTGACCTGCTCCCGCTGGACCTGGAGCTGTTGCAACTGGAGTCCTGTATTCCCTCACCAACACGCTGGAGTTCTCCTCAGCTCTGTGCCCTGGATCCTGTACCTTCCTCTAAGTCAACATCCTGTTGGAGGGAAACACATTTTCCAGAAGCCTTCTGAGAAAAGGTACATGGGAGTAAACTTTATGAGACGTCTTTTCTCTGAAAATGTCTTTGTGCTGTTCTGACATCACTGATAATTTGTCAGGTGCACATTTCAAAGTTAGAAGTCATTCCCCTCAGGATTCTGAAGACATCACTTGCTGATCCAATCCTCCATGTTGCCAATGTGCCAATGTTCTTTCTATGTGATGACTTGGTGTTTGGTTTTGTTTCTGTTTTCTCATCTGGATGCATTTAGGATCATCCTCCTGTAACCAAGTGAAGAAACTTGGCACCTCTGCCTTCATATTTTATGTCTCCTTTGCTGCCTTAATCTTTGGGTCAAAAGATTCTTTTCAGCACTGCAGCCTTGCACGTAGGCTTGTTAATCTGAGGAGAAATCTTGCTCATGACTTAAGATAGATGCAACCAGCCCCTTAAGTGAAACTCAGCTCCCCTGAGGAGATAAAGAAGTATGTACAGAAATAACAACTGGATTGTCAGGGACTTACAGGAACATCATGGCCATACTTATGTCAACAAAATGACTGGAGTCAACTAACCAAGAACAAGTAGTTTCACAATCCTCCTTGTACTGAGGTACAGATGTCTGAATCAATTGTTACCTCCTAACCTCAACCCCCTCTGTCTCCCTGCTTCCCTAATATAAAAGAAGCTTGAAATCAACTCTAAGTTAAGATGATTCTTTAGGATATGAGTTCACCATCTTCTCAATCTGCTGGCTTCCTGAATAAAGTCTCTTTCCTTGCCCCAACACCTTGTCTGTCAACTTATTGGTATGACATGTGGCAAGTGGCATGAACTTGGACTTGGTAACACCTCCTGCCCATATTCTGAGATCTCACAGTGAGCTGTGTACGTGGGACTATTTTCATTCATTCACTGGGCTCTTAATGGACTTTCATCTGGAGAGTCAGGCCCATACTTATCAAAAAGTAATAAAATATACAGTAGTATTTGCTGTAAATTCTGTATGTCTAATTGATGATCAGAAAATGCTTTCATTGTTGTTTTTGTTGTTGAACTCTTATTCTGTAGCCAATCTTTAGTTGCAGTTCAAGCATGGTTTGACAAAATCAGACTATGAGTAAATATCTGCTTACTATCCCAATTCAGCAAAGTGGGTGTTCATGTCATTGATGAATACTTGTGTACTTTTGATATGAATATTGCTTGATATTTTTTTCTATGTTTGGAGTAAGACAAAAGTCTTTTAACAGAGATGTTGGGCCTCACAGATACAGTGGACATAAATAACCTCAAAAGCATGGACAATAGTAAAATGTTGTAATTAGAAGTAAAGAATTTTTTAATATTCATTACATTTGTTTTTATACAATTTATTTAATTATGTTTATATAATGTAATTTTAAATAGTTGGTGTGTTTAGCCACCAGCTCACAAAATTTCTGAAAATTAAAATAAAAGTGGCTCTCATGGATGCAAAAGTCTTCAACAAAGTATTAGCAAAGCAAATACAAAAATACATGAAAAGGATCATTCATGATGACCAAGTGGGATTTATTCCAGGAATGCAAGGATGGTTCAGTATCCACATGCTATAATCAATCAGTATGATACAGCACATAAACAAAAGGAGGGGGTAAAATCATGTGATTATCTCAATAGATTCAGAGAAAGAATTTGACAAAATGAGACATCCATTCATGATGAAACTCAACAAAGTAAGTGTAGAGGGTTTATTCCTCAACAGAATAAAGGCCTTACCTGACAAGCTGGACAAGCTGCAGCTATAGAATACTCAATGATAAAAAGCTAAAAGGAATAAGACATGGAGTCCCACCCACACCACTTTTATTCAGCATATTACTGGAAGAGATAAAAAGTCAATATACAGAAATCTGTTGCATTTCTATACACCAATAACAAACTAGCAGAAAG